ATCGGTATATACGAACTTTACTCTTAGAACTATAAAAAACTAGAAATCAAAATCAAGACAAAAATAACCAGGAAACATCGTAATAACGTAAACAAATTCAATATAATAAAATGTTACTTAGCCAGCGTAAAACTCTCAATTGATTTAGGTATTTCAATCAAGCACCTTTTTTTACTAATGTTAATATTACAATAGAAAATATCAATGTTGACTGTTGAGTAGCTCGAACACATAATATGTGAAGGTGAAAATGTTAGTACATTTGTTCTTGGTGCAGGTAAACAGAATAAATTATTTGAACGAGTCTGAAAATTAGGAACATGAAAATATAAACAGCTAGTTAGCTGTTTATATTTTCATGGTCAGTTAATCAGGTTATTTATAATTTTATATAATATCACTAAATAATAACATTTGCGACGAGTATTTAAGTTACTTATGTTATATCTCTGTAACAAATCAGCCTGATTAATACCATTAGGGGAATGGTATTAATTATGCATTACACCATCAGCTTTGTACCACATATATTTTACAAACTTTTTTTGGATTTTCTCAAATCTAAATTTATGAATTTCGTAACCTGGATTCCAGACTACCGAGGCATACTCCAATTTAGACCTGACAAAGGCATTAAAAAGTAACTCTAATGTAGCAGAATCTACAAATTGTTTTCCGTTTCTTATTATAAATCCCAGATTTCTGTATGCACTTGTTACTATTTCATTTATATGGTCAGTGAAAGTCAATTTGCAATCGAATATGACTCCTAATTCCTTGAACGTACTACATCTCGTCAAATCAGCATTGTTAATTGTATATTCATATTGAAGAGAGTGCATCTTTTTTAGTGAAACTTATGCAATAACATTTACTAATCTTAAGAGGTAAAACATTTTTTTCGCACCAAAAATTTAGCTTATTAATATCACACAGCTTAATACAATCATCTAACTTAGAAATATATGTGTAAAGTTTAAGTTCATGAGCATATAACAGAGTTTTGCAGCTGAGTCCACAGATAATGTCATTTATAAAGATAATAAACAAAAGAGAACCAATGACAGATCCTTGGGACACACTCGAGCTTGCTGTTATTTCGACAGACTTAAAACCACGATACTGCACATTAAGGTATCTGTTGCTTAGATATGAAATGTAAAATTTCAGCAATCCATCAGTGTGTCCAACCTGATACAACTTGCCAAGAACGGTGAACGAAGCAAATTGCAAAATGACAATTCGAAATGTTTAATAATCTGCATAGCATAATCACTCATTTTTAATCGAACTTGAACGTAGTATTAATATTTGTTAATTTAATATGACAAATATAATAATTCGTTGAGCGACACATCCTTTTTCCTCTACTACGCCGCTGCTGGGTGAAACGTCCTTTCCTCGATTTAAAAATAATAAAAACCCACCGTACTTGGAGTGATTTTAAGTTATCATAAATTAACTTCTATACCGCGAATTAATTAATGTACATGTAATTAAGGAATTAAATGTGACGACTGTAAATAATTAATTTTATTACGATCAAACAAGTTTTACGATTTTTATTGATATGTTTAATGCGCTTAAATTGGAGAGAATTGAAAAACTAAGTTTGGTATTTGGGAGTTTCTTTCTGTTGTTAGTGATTAAGTTTCCGATGCCGCGGGTGTCCCTGGAAGTACCAATTTCAAATAAATATATAAGAAAGCTGTGTGAATCCTGCAGGCTTTCAGCATTGCTTCACATTTTTGATATCTTCTGTGAAATATTTTACAGTTATTAATACTTTTTTACATAATTGGGTGTAATTTTATATTATGTCTTCTACACATTTTTTTTCAGGCAGAAAAGTAATATGGAATATAAAAAAATGTTTGATAGCATTCGTTAATTAAGTTCATAGTAACTTTCATAACGATATTAAATTTTCTTGTATAGATTTAGAGTTAGAAAATTTTTAAAAACATAACAACCCAATTTTAGAATACATAATTAATCAAGTTTGTAAGGGAGAATGTCACTATGTAAATGTTTCAATCTATGATTGGCAAATAAGTGGTTTATTAGATTCTGGAGCAAATAAAGTATTTATGAACGAAAGAAGCTCTTTACTTCGTAACCTTGGAGTTACATTACATTCTTTGTCAGACATAACTTGCACTGTTGCCAATAATCAAGAATTGGACTGCATTGGTTATATGGAAGTTCCTATTAAATTAAAAAAATAGAGTTCACATTTTTAATATTTATGTTATACCACAATTACGTCATGATTTAGTCTTGGGTACTATATTTTGGATTAAAATGAATTTAATCTCAGAGTTAAGGAAAGGAGAACGGTATTTTGGAAATGAAAACAGTAATAATTTTGAAATAAATTCTATAAAAACAGCTGATGACTTAACTCTTGGGCAAAGGACAAATTTAAATAAGATTATTGATAATTACTTTGAATCTACTAAAGGTATAAGAGTAGGCTGTACCTCAGTAGTAGAACATGATATTGAAACAGAAAGTCCACCAATTAAAGCTAGATATTATCCTGTAAGTCCTTTTATACAGAGAAAAATAGATGACGAAGTCACTAAAATGTTAGATTTAGGGGGTGATAGAAAAGAGTGACAGTGGCTGGAGTTCACCAATATTAATAGTTCCAAAAAAAGATAACACATATCGTTTTTGTGTAGATTTTCGCAAATTAAATTCAGTAACAAAAAAATGGGCATATCCTTTACCAAGGATTAGTTCTATTCTCGATAAATTGGACAATGCAAAATATCTCACTACGTTAGATATTCATAGTGCATATTGGCAAATAAAAATGCCAGAACATAGGATATATAGAATCTGTCATTCTGTCATCAGATGAGATACTTAGGATGAACAAAAAAAGTAACAACAGACAATTTTTATTAAATTTTTACATAAACTAAATTTAGGATAAAATAATTTTGAATACCTGGTATTTCCCCCCTTGAATAGTCCATCCTAAATGGTTTCGTACGTGCTCTATAGGTTTAATGTCTAGGCTACGAGCTGGCGAATTCATTGCAATGACATTAACATCCTGGGAGCGTTTAGTCGTGTGTTATCGTGCATATGGGATCACATGAGGTTCTCTATGCCACAATCGTCCATCATCATTCCATCATTAAACACTACACTCGACACAGGTTTCGCCAACTAAATTAGCATCATCTGGAAATGATTGAAACAATCATTTTCAGATGAGTTCTTTTTAGCAACGTTTTAACATAATATATTGCCATAAATAGAACAGATAATTTGGTGTTTTTCATAAATTGACTAGAATGAAAAAAAATGCTACCTATCGTTTCGACTTTTTTGTAGTCACGCGCAGTAGGTCAAATAAGATTTATTATTCTATTATGATAGTACCGAACATACATAGAATGTGGAAAATTATGATGGAGTACTTTCTGTATCTAGGTCATTTTTTGTTTTTAAAACTCCAATTCTGGCCATAAAAATGTCATACTCTTTTCAACACCGAAAATTGGGACAGGTGAAGTTATATCTGGTTTAAATGTTATTTAAATTCTCTACGCACTGGCTTTAAATTATTTGAATTCAATTAATCCTTGTCTAAAAGCGGTTTAAAGATGTAAATCAAATATGATGAAATCGCAAATAACCAAATTATGAAACTGAGTTTTTTAAATAAGATACAACATAAGTATTTAACTAAAACGCAGTTTTACTTAAACTGTGTGGACTTGGTCTAATCTTATTACTAGATAATGTTGGGCTAAGTTTTATTCAGGTATAGCATCAAATTCATCCATCGATTTTTCGTAAAAAATCACCCTGGACGTCTATATCTTTCTCATGAGTTTTTTCTTTTACCTTTAAACTGGTGGTTTGTAGAAATTGGAAAAAAATCTTCAATTGACTTTTAGACTAAGTATAACCTGACATAGTCTCATATGGCTCCGTGGTCTAGAAGTAACGCACTTGCCTCGAAACTTTGGGGTCCCGGGTTCGATTCCCGGTCGAGGAACTGGGATTTTTCTGTGAGAGAGATTAATCGTAGTATACTCGGAAACTGGGTGTGTGTCCATTGTCTCTAAATGTGTAGCCCTGTCCCATACAAGGTCATCAGACCTTCAGGGATAAAGGGGTTGTAATTTAATGTGGTGTTATTATTATTATTATTATTATAGTGAGTGATGTGTATCTCTCTGGTGGTCAGTACCACTACCCGTCAGATATCACTGATAGCTTAGTCACTAACAGGGACCTGGAAAGCAGGTAGCTACGACCTCTAACCCTAGTGAGCTAAGCTATATACTGAATAAGATTTACAGGAAATAACTATTCAGCGGACAAAAGCCCCGCCCTGCATTGAATTAAATCTGCAAGTCTTGTTTGGTAGCTAAGATCATTCATTAATTCCTCACTAGACATAGACCGGTTTCGAACTTGTTATGTTCTCGTCAGTACGCCATAAGTAATGGAAAAGACCAATAATAATAGCAAACCAGGCTAGCCTAAACCAGACTAAGCAAGACAGACATAGTGAGTGGTAAGAGTATCCCTCGGGTGGTCAGTGCTACTATCCGTCAGACATCACTGATGGCTTAGTGACTATTAGCGACCACCAGAGGAATACTCGTGCATTGAAATAGTCCGCAAGGTCGTCTGACGTAACCCCAGTGGATTTCTTTTTGTACGGCCACCTAAAAAACAAAGTCTAACAAACAAAACCTGAGAATCTGCAAAAAAAGACACAGAATAGTTGGCTTATTATTTCACCTATGTTCCAAAAAGGTCAGTACTTTAGACTGTGTCAAGAAGTATAACTTTTTCTTTTCTTAACTGTCTTTTAAGTCATCGTAGTAACTCCCAGACAATCCAAGGATTTTGTGTTGGGTAAAGAGAGACGAGGCCCTACAGTTTATTGTGGAGTCCGAACCACATCTAGGGTATCGATAGTTTGCTCCCATCTTAATCCGAAGCAAATTACAAATACAATTTGTTGCTTCGGGATGGATTCGAACCATCGATATTCGATAACGATAAGCGCTTTACCGACTCGACTACCATGCCCTTAATTAATTGTTTTTAAAAATGTTTTTGAATTATCTGATATTGACAAAACCGTGTTATGGTGTAAAAATATCTGTATTTTTGACGCTGTCTCAAAACAATAAATAACTTGTATTACATTCATTGTAGATTCTGATGAAGGCATAACTGAAAAAACAGTTCAAGAATTTAGGTATATTCAATTTTAAAGAAATTATTTAATTTAAGAGATCATATCATTTGATTTTACATCTTTAAGCTTTAAAAACGAATTAAAATTTTTTTAAATTAGCATATTTAGAATACTGAATACTGTCAGAAGATCACTTCCTAAAAATTTCCGTTAGCACGATACAGAATTTATTTTAAACTTTCCGCGCTGTAAGTACATTCTCTTGTTAAAATTCAGAATAAAATAAAAGTCGTTATGTTCTGTAACCCTTTATCTTTATTTCCATATTCAATTATTTTCTCTAATTCATAATTTGTCTGGCCATCCTTACGTCACAAAGTTAATAGTTAATACGTTTTAAATACTTTTCAGTAATGCCATTATTTAATGTCCATAATAAAATGAATAAAAATAATACAGAAATCTTTTAGACAGTGTAATTTAATGACTATATGGTATGCAGGTGAAGAAGAAAAATTTATCTGAAATTACTCAATTAACTCTTTTAGTATTCATCCGCACTCACATTAACTTCGCTTTGATCGAAAGGGGAACACCTGTATTTAAAAAATTAAGATTAATTAGAATATAATTAAATATTAATGAACTATAAAGAGGCTATCGTAAACCAATTTAAACTAATTTGTTTTTCCTAGTATTGTTTTGAATAATAAAATTTTTATGGCAATTGATAATTTTTATGTCCGCATTCTCTAAATCCAGAAGCCGACCAATTTTAAAATTAGAAAAAAAGGGGATTTTATACTATTCACATACCTATAAAAGGCGTTTACTATGATAAAAATTCTTTTATTAAACAAACCGGGGTTAATAAAAAGTTTATAGTTAAATGGAGAAGTAATTAGATCGTTTTTCATTAAACCGTAAAAAAAATCAGAGTATTGTACTGAACATAAGATGCATTCTATTATTTCATAATTTAATATTCATCGTCACAAATAGCTGGGAAAGTAGTTGTTTAACGAGATACATGTTTGCTATTAAAATTAGTAAACTATAATTATGTTTACAAAGTTAACTGCCATATTAACAGTAAAGCCACTTATTTTATTTGGGGACGTATTTGAACATTTTTGCTGGATATTAACATACAAAAAAAATCGTGCCCATAGAGATCCATAGGAGGGGACGCACGTAGCCCCTGCCTGGCTCCGCAAATTATAAAAAACTGTAGATAGTTTATTATTATCGTATTATTTGGTTTGACAGGATGCTTATGTAACATCAGATAATTAATTTAATATTTTTTTCTAAACACATATATTTATTATTTATTATTATTAAAAATTAGTGCCATTAAAATTGTTTCAGTAATATTATGTAGTTTTTATTAGAGATGAAAATTACTAAATAATATCCTTAGTCGTCAGAAAACTGACAGGAAACTATGAATAAATATTCCTAGAGAACACATTTTAGTCAATTTATACAGTTAAAATTCTTTTAACGGTATAATCCTTAGATTAATAATTCTAGAAGATGAGTAACAAAACATAAAAAGTTGTCCGATTTACCTACATCCCACGCGAGATACGTAAATATTATTGCTGGTTTAATTCCTATTGGTCAGAATCATGAACACAGCACGAAGAAACCCAATCGATGCCCGATCTATCACCATCTTGACAACAAATAGTGTTCTGTAAGATGACGTCTGTTATGAAAAATTTATTTACAGTAAATATTCACTAAATAAATCTTTATAACTAAAAATCGATTATTAATCAGTACCCAATAACACAAAACTTTAAAATCACTTAAAACAACAGAGATTAAAATAGCAACAGTAGAATAGCATTGAAAAATACATTATTCAAGCAAACAGATTTTGTATACCTAATAAGTTTTAAGTTACGAAAAGTATTAAAATAAACGCTGTAGCCTGGAGCCACCCCTGGTTTGTTTTGGATACGTTGATATCTAAACATGCAAATTGTTGTTTATGTATAGGTCATAATAATCAGCGTATCGCTTATGGGTGTTACTTATCTTTATATTATTAATCTATGGTAGAATCCTACCATAAAGTGAAAGCGAACTATGTTATATGTGTAAGATTTCACCAGTTTTGCCTGCAATGCTGCCATTGGTCTATGTGTCGCACTTTAAATTGAAATTATTTATTCTTACAATCAGTGAACCTGAAGCCGACTCTGACTTTTAGCATGTGTCCTAAAAAAAATCCGCTCTCTAATTATCATCACCAAAAAGAGCAAAGAAAAAGAGTTGAGGGTCATTGATAAACTTTCTACAAATCTCTACAAATTTCCAATTCTCCCTATTAAATTTTTATTATTTAACAATACACAACATTAATTTAAAACTGTCAGAGGAATATCGTAAATATATATAATATAATAATTTACTAGGGATGAATCGATTGTAATACACAGTATTAGCAAATAAAGAAATCTGGTGGACCATCTTGTAGATATTACGCGAGGGCGAGGGCGAATAAAAGTTTAAGTGGGCACTTCTGCCCCTAGTGGCTTGTACTAAACTTTGATATTGTTTTATTTGCTGCCCTCTCGCGGGTCAAGCGTTAACTAAATTAGTTCCCTGGTCCGATTTGTATTCCAGTATTGCCTTCGTTTTGTTATTGCCACGGGAATAGGTAGTTTTCAGTAAGGAATTGCCCCTCAAACCACTCCCACGGTTTTTCTTTAGCTTGTATTGTGTTCTAAGTTAACGGTGTGATTTCATTTTACCAGCCTATTGTTAAATTTACGTCTGGAAATGCTGTAAAATAGAAATTAATCATTTATTGCTTTACGGATTTTATGAACATAAACAATTTACTCAGTTTTGAGGGTTGGAATAGATTATTTCTGGACAAGATGACATATTCTTTTGGTTAGACACACATTTTTTTAACCGTATTTTAATTACAAACATATTATTTTCACACAGTACTTGATAAAATTCAAGAAACTGTCAATGTTATTCAGGGTTTATCCAAAGTTCAGTTTAACTTGGTTTAAAACCCAAGAATACTATTGTTGTAACATTTGTAACTTTCATTTAAACCAAGTTCACTTTGAAAGATGTTTGTACAACACCCAGATTGACAAAATCATATATTAAGTTTTTTGCTCTTCATTGTGCATCTGTAACTGACAAAGTTTCTCTAAATAATACACAGTGTATTAGAAAAAAAATATATAAAGGAAAAGATACCTAATTTTTGCAAGAACTTGTACAGGGTTATTCATTATAAATTACCCACCCCTTATCAGCGTTATTACTGCCTATATGAAAAAAAGTTTTAAATAAATGTTGTGTAGTTATGACCGAATTTTGTTCAAATGCTATCAAAAGTACAGAAGCGTGCAGATTTCAGGGATACAAAAAAAATATATTTTTTTAAATGGAATACCCTGTATATTATTAAATTTTTGGAATGATCGTTTGTTCCTGATTTCAAAAATATACCATATGTTATCCCTACTATATACAGTCTTTGAGTTATTAAACGTCGAATATCTTAGTTAAACTAGTTACTGTAAATATGGAACAGTTAACATTATTAAAGTGAGCTATGAAAATGACAACTATTATGTTTGACAAGTGACATTTCTTTAATGAAATAATCAAAATGATTTACAGTTAGGAAGAAAATGTCCAAATATTTACTTGTTATATACAAAATAACAAAAATAAACGTGTAGCAAAAAGAGCATAGAGGGTGTTGTATCCAAATCGTCCAACACCATCAGAAAATACGTTCAAAATATTTACCGAAAGGTGAATAATACCTGCAGTTTTAGTAGAAAAAAGCGTGTAGTTCAAGCAAACCAGCAAGAACAGCTAGATATACTGCTTCATTTCGAAGGTAAGCCCATCCATATTAATTCGCGTATAGACTTTTTTGAAACAATGTATTATTTTTTAGAAAATTCTGAATGTAGTATAAATAATGCAGTCGATCAATTAGGTAAAATTTATTCCAAAATCCAACGTACGTAAAAAAAATAACAGCTACGGACCATATAAAATTTTACCCGTCCAAGTTTTAACAAAGGCTCATAAAAGGAAAAGGCTGGACTTTTGCCGCCAGATGATTCAAAAGTTGGATGAAGATCCCGATTTTTTTACTAAAATATTTTGGAGTGATGAATCATCCTTTTCTACGGCAGGAGTTTTTAATAGGAAAATTCGAGGGTCGTGGGAAAACAAGCACAACAGAAAAAGATTGGTAACACAAATAAAAAAATCAGGAAAAAAACTGTTTGCGTTTGGTGTGGAATTTTCAGAAACAAAATTGTTGGGCCTATATTTTATGATTATACTTTAACTGGAGTTACCTATCTGGAAATAATTATCCCAGAAGCAGAAAATACTCTTTTGCAGAATTTTCCGGAAGCCGAACTTGATGATATAATTTGGATGCAGGATGGGGAATTCCGCATAGTGTCCTACCCGTTCGAGGTCATTATAATAATGTATTCCCAATATGGATAGGGAATAATGGACCTATTAAATGGCCACCTAACAGTCCGGATTTGACCCCTATGGATTAATTTTTTTGGAGATTTCTAAAAGATATTGTCAATAATAATAATAGTAATAATAATATTATTCAAGTCGTTAAAGACAGGATTCGACTTGAAGTAAACAATCTGAATGTAAATAATGAAGCCATTTCCGGTGCAATTATAAATATAAGAAGACGTTATCAAATATGCATTGACAATAATGGTGGACACATCGAAAATCTTTTATGAGTTATCATTTATTTATACCTATTTAAAATTCCTAAATAAATCTTTGTTATCTATTTTGTATAAATATTTGGTTTTTTCCCCTCACTGTAAACCATTTTGATTA